CAATCTCATTTTCTTTCAACTTCATAAGAAGTCATGTAAAAATAGGACGCTAGATTTTAATAATGCAAACGCACAAATTATGTTATAAGCCTAGTATTCAGTTCGTTCTTATTTTTAGGTCATCTTAAATAATGTTTTAAGATGCTAATGCTCTGTGATTGGTTTATGACATCTTAAGGCTGTATGTTTAAGACGGTTTTATATATTATAAGAAATATAGGAACCGGCTACGATTAGCCTGGTTAGATTAAATTAGAATAAGTCAATAATAAGCAGAATCATAAGGCGCAGAATCATAACTTGTTCTCGTAAGCCTTGTACTTATAACTGGAATTGTAATTCTGTGCGTACGGTAAGACATTTATAATTATTCATAAATATCTATCCTTTCCTTGTAAATGTACGGCTAACGAGAAGCTGTCTATAAAGATAAAGTTGCATAAAGTTATAAGCATCTATTTAGTCATAAATTCTTACAATTTAACTCTTACGAGAGAATAAATTACGGAAATAACTTACAAGTCTTACGATTCTGCTTAAAATTGATTGTAGAATTAAAGTATTATATCAAATTACTTTGTAAAATTTGCGTATTGGCTTGATTTTTCCTGCTTCTTTTGCTTCTCCGTGTTTATCTTGGCAATTTCATGCACATTCTATTTGAGAGTCCAGTCAAATATTCTCTCCATTCCATCATCATTTTTTCTTAGTTCCACGAATGTTTATTCTGAAACTTTGCGACATAGCTCCATTTCTCATTTATGAGTTATATAGACAAATTACAAAAGTATTAAAAAAGTATAATTGTGGCTCACCCGGCAGAGTGATTGCCTAGAAGAGTAAGCCGAGATTCGACTCCCCACAGAAATGTCCTGACACCTTTCTAGAGATGTCGCTTTTTAAATTAATTCAATATAGGTAACTCCTGAAAAAAAATTTACTAAAATGAATCACACATAAAAAGCTGCTGAAAATATTTCAGTCACAAAACAGAAATCCGGCATTAGTTGTCGCCTACACATTTATGAATCTTCCCTCACATTTACGAAGAAAACTCCACCTCTTCTTTCCTTGCTAATTCGACATTCAGTATTCTTGAAGAAATTTCTATTCTTCTCTCTCAGGACCTTTAACCACGCAGGGATTTTGAGAGACTACCTTTTATTTCATTGCTCAATTATCTTGTTAACCGAATGTAATCCCTTGAAAAACATATACCTGAGTACCTGAAGTCCAATTATCGCGTATTTAGTCCCCGTCTATATTTCTTACTAAACATTTCTTTCTTCCCTTATAGAAAAAAAGATCCCTTAAAGCCTTCCCTGTTCTTTACATATACTTATATGAAATAGTATTTTTAAATTTAATTAAACATAATTAAATTTTTGTTATTATCGTTTATGAATATATTATTATATTAGCACATATATCTAGCTCGGTTCATTAATCCTTTAATTTATAATCAAATTTTTTTATTTATTTTCTTACAACAAATTTCTTCAACATCCCGCCCGATGTCTTCCGATTCAATGTAAAATTCGTGGAAAATTAATACAATTCTTGACATAGTAGAAAAACGTTAAATCTATACATTTTTTAATTGTAAATATAAATATACATCTTTACATTTTTTACGTTCAGTGGACTTCCCGATTTCTTCGTTTCGTGAACAGTAGTAGAATAAATTATTAAAGTAAAAACAAATATTAATGATTATCAATTAGCAAAGATACATCGACCCAACGAAATTGACCATTGCTTCCTTGGGAAAAATTTATTTTAAGTAAATATTATACGTGAGAAATCTTTATAACGGAAATATTTTGAAAATAGGTAATAAGTTGCATCTTATTTGCAGCATGCAACTTGTCCGCGACGAAAAATTTCAAAAAATGTTCACGAATTATATCTTCGAAAAACTAACATATAATTGCCTAAGCATGTTGGGGCTAGCTTCGCGGCAGAGCTATAATATATAAGGACGATAATTTATATATTGCCGCGTACATACAATAAAATTCGATTTTGAAATGTTCACAGAATTTAAAATTCCGTATAATATATTAAAAGTAATAAATAAACACAGCTCACACTAATTGAGTTATAAAACTTTATCAAGGGACGATATAACTATCCAGCAGGAAAATAATTGATCTTATTTTAAACTGATAAGTCTAGAGTTCAAAATCTCACATTCGGAGCAAACACTGATTTTTGCGAATAAACGAACTTGATCCCACAAGTATTATCACCAATAGACGACTAAATAAAATTGAAATAGATGAGGAATAAGGACTCACCAATAGCAAGGTTGCGAAACCTAAAAATCGGTGAAACGTCTAAGGTGGTTCACCAATGAATAGTTTTAAGAAATGATAACCGTTGGACAAACGGAGTGATCCCGAATCTAATCTTCCAATCAAATCCATTTTTCCTCAAATTGCCACATCCCACGTCCTGAATATAAACCACAAGATCGCAGGATTCCAATAAGTCAGTCATTCAGTTAGAGAGTCAGTCAGTCTCTTACAATCATCCTTCTGTGAATCTGCACATTGCCGCTTAGTCGCAATTAGAGCCAGTGCGCGTCTAAGTTCAAAATTACAACTTCATCGGCTCAGTATTTTCATCAAGTCTTCGTCGAGACTCAACACCACCAATCAGCTCTTGGGTCAACAGCGTGGAAAAGTTTCGAGACCGAACAAACAACCAGACATCAGTATAATTAGTCTTAAATCTTTTCTTTCACCCTCCTGTTTGATCCTTCGCGTAAAAATATTAAAGTCAATCTGATTGTGTACTGAACAGCCGAGCATTCACTCCACGATCCCGAGAATCTTCGCGGAATTGTCGAATCAGACGTGTCCATCAGGAAGCCCGGAGAACAGCCCGGCAATTGCTTGACCAGCTCTTTGCAGAGTGGTGCCGTATCCTACAAGACGCGGAACATGCGGGATTAATTTCCGCAAACCGAGAATTCCTCAACCTTCCTCTGAAGAGACACCTTTCTCTGAAGAATGTCCTCCACCACCCTCTCCTACCTCTTCTGTTTTAACACAGAGGATATTTCCTGACACTCTTCCCCGCTCTAGCTCTTCTCAACCAAACTTCTCTCTTGATAATTGCTCTCCTTCACCCGCATCTTCCCTTTACGATTTCCCGAATATAGAAATATTAGGAAATTCTCCTTCCCTCGCATCCTCTAAATTACTCTTATTGCGAGATAGTAGACGAGATACCTGTTCTAATTATTCTAGAGATTTCTCGTCCTAGATTTTATTATAATTATGGTATCCATGACTCATTGGAATAATTCATTACCCAATTCGACCAAATTACAACTCTCCTTCTCTCCGTCTCATTTCCACACGGAATTTTAAAACGTGCCCACGAATTATCTCTTCAAAAAACTAACAGATAAACATTGCCTAGGCATGTTGAGGCTTGACCCGCGACAGAGCTATAAAGACCATAATTCATATACTGCCACGTACATTCAATAAAATGCTCCTTAAATTAACTATAAATTGATTCCTTCCAACTCCTTGTTAAGAAATAAAATTATTATTTGGACGTAACACATTTCTAAATTATAAATATAAATATATGTAATATGTCCTAAATCTATAAAAATGTGTAATATATATGTACCAGCTTTGTTTAAAATAAATTAGTTTCAATCAAACGGATTCTCTTTACGTTAATTTTAAAAAACTTTTGTCACTCATCTCTAGCTTCTCATAAGATCGCCCTAAGACCACTCTTAGTTATATCACTTTTAGATATATCCATGTAGTAATTTAGTTTTTTGACATAAAATTAAAGGATCGAGGTATTCAAGATAAGCGCACTGTTACAGACGACATGAATAATATGTGTCAACATCGAAATCGGTGCAATAAAGTATATAATTTCATAAATAAGAATCTTCATTTGTTTTTTACATATCAACTAATTATATTGATTCTAAGCTTTCTGTATTAAATTTATATTAATATCTCTATTATAATGCTAGAAATCATTCGAGATTTTGGATCAAAGTTTTAAAATTCCAAAAGGCGTAAGTCTTCTATCTTTAAATATAATTTGGTAAATTTGTCAACAGATAAGAAGTAAATTAATAACACTTATTTTGTTAATCTGCGTTAATCTGCGTATTTTGTTAATCTAAAAATATATTATACTAATTAAACAATTATTGTTAATATAAATTGTATACGTCAATAAGAAATAAATTAATAACAATTTGTGAATAAGTACGTGTTGTTATTACTCGGGGCAAAATTAATCTTCATTCTTTTTGTTGTTGATAATAGTTTAAAAATTATTTCAACTTGGCAGTTACTTAACATTCTATCATAGAACAGAAAAATAAAAAATAAACTTTCCACTAAATACTATACTTACTAGTCTGCATTGCATATAACAAATATTAATAGAAGAAAGAGAAAATTTGTAAGACATACTAATATATGTTGAGAAGCAATAAGCACTATCCAATTTAAAGTTATTTTAATTTATTATAAACTTGCACGCGCACTCTTTTAGCAATAATTCAAATTAACACCATACAATTTGTCACTAGCAGTTACTTCTTCCTGTCATTCTCGTTACGTGTTTACGTCTCGACTGCCTGGTGAAAACACCTGCAACTATAGATTCATTAATAATGTATCGTCAAAGTATCCAGCAAAACGGCAATTCTTTTCTCTTATAGCAACGAAATTTTCTAGCAACACAAAAAACATCTACAAGCTGTGCGCTTTCCACGGGCCTTCTGAAATTTTCAACGATTTGGCTCGTTCCGTCTCCTACAAGCGTAAAAACAATTTTTTTTCTTATACGCGCGTTTTACGACCCTTCAATTACGAAGCTCTTCGCAAGATGGAAAAAAATATGAAACGACGTAAAACATTCGTTACTTTGATCGATCAACGAACATCGCATGCTCGTTTTTGCGAGCTCCCCATCATAATTTATACAATGTACCCTTTCGTCGAATGAACACTTTCACAAGACGGTAATAGCGCATGTTCTTTCTGGTTGCTCCATTATTTACGACGATCGACGGTGCAATGTATCACGTTTGCGGAATTTTGTTAGAAGCTTGCGTGACAATAATGTTCAGAAGGTGGGGATGATATCATTGACAAAGCAAGATCAGTAATCTTTTAACCAATGGATCGTTCAGACGAATATAATGGTGTTCCGTTTAATTATCAGTTAATAATTTTAACGAAATATAGATTGAGATTAAAATTATGTTTTTCTTTATCATAATTTAAGATTATTGTATTAAATGTTTACTAATAAGGAAGAAGAGGGTATATTGGAAAGTAAAAGATCCAATAAAACGTTTTAAATTTTGACGCTTGAAAAAACTATGTTGTCATATTGGTCGCATTATAAATAATATTTTGTATGTCATCAACAAATCAGTTTGCTCGTGTTGCGTCTGCAACATAATAATTAGAAAATAAATACATTATTTTTATTTTAACGTCAAAATTCACGAAATGTTTCAATGTATTCTGCGTTTCAATATTTCTCTCTTTCATGTATTCAATAGAGTTTTAAGTCAACGATCACGAGTTCTTATGAAAAGTGATATAAAAATTTGTGATCAATTTATTTTAATTTGAAAAATGAAATGCTTTTCAACTGAAAGTATAATTGTGTATATTTATTGCCTTTAATTTTCAGAAATCTTACAATACGTAAAGCTAATATGTAAAGTTGTAAAGAATTTTGTAAAGAATAAAGTTGTAAAGGTTGCGTTTTATAATATAAAATATATTACTTATAATATTTTAATATGCAAAATTATGGAAAAAAACACAGTTTTACGGAATAAACTGATATTTAAATAAATGATTCTTATGTATTTGCTTTATTAATTTTATAGATTTAGAATGGGCGATTGGTCTGAACCGCTGCATGTTGAAAATTATCGGTTTGTGGCCAGAAGAGACTAAAGATCAGCGTGAAGAATTATTGTCGAAGCTTCGGTTGCTATTAAATGTCATTATGTTGATTTTCGTATTAACCATACCGGCCTTAACGGCACTGATAATAGTATGGGGAGATATGATACTGATGATAGATAATTTACAATATACTCTGCCTCTTTTGATAACGTTATTGAAAGTCTTCATCATGTGGTACAAAAAAGGAGGTATTTTATTATTAATCAACATATTTAACTCTAGAACCGTACAAGGGGTACATTTGTACTTCAGGACAATTTTCAAACTAGGCTCATGAGCTAACAGACGACATTTTTGGTTCGAGACTGTACCCGTAATTCACTTTCACTTTTTGGAAGTGAGGCTAGACCGGCTGTTTCGTCAGTCACATGCTAGTTGCTGACATACACAAATTGAAATTTCGCTTTGGGTACGTTTGTACCCCTTTTAACGGTTTGTGCCAATTTCATGCAGTTAAATCATTTCGTTTGCTTCGTTAAAGTAGTATATTTAATCAAGCTAGTAAGCTGGCAAGATACGTTTTTTGCGCTAGGTCAGACGATCGGAAAAGCCGTGTGACTTGTAGCATTTGCCAAATACTGGTTTGTGAAAACCACAGATTTCTTAAGTGCATCCTATGCAACGAGCGTGATTAAAGTTTATTAAAGTTCTACTTATATTTCCACGTATTTTGATTAAAAATTATATTTAAAGAGGTGTAAAACAAATGTGTAGCAGTTTTTCATTGTTTCTTTCTCATTTTTTAATTTATGATATTTGTCGATATTCATATAGCAAAATAATTATATTTTTTAAGAGATTGCAACAATGAATATTTTTTTTTATAGCCTAATATGTCTTCTTTAATTTCGCGTTTAAAATTTTGGAATTGGTTCATTAGAAAAAAAGTTTGCTATTTTTGTATGAAAATTGGCATTTTTGGCACTTTTTTGTTTAAACAGGTTTCTTATTAACTTCCAGTTAAGGAAATTGAATTTAATTAACGCCATTTTCTTTTATATTAAAAGACGAAGAAATTGACCTATTTTTTAATCTTCTAATCCACATATAAAATATTTTACGTTATGATAAAGAATGCGTGCATTTGTACCCCAAAAATCGGTTAACAATAAGAGGCAAAAAAAGTAATAGTACAGTTCTAGAGTTGAGATTTTTTTAATTTTCCCCTCCTTTATTATTTTATTAAATTTATAAGCAAATGTTTTCACTACTTTTTGAGAAACTACAAATTTTAACAGATGTATTATTAATATCCGCAAATTAAAAGCTGATTACACAATATCGAATAATGTTACAAGAAATGATCTCACCACATGTGTATATCGAAGATACAAATTATTTTCCTAGATTTATCGCCGTTAATTAACATGATCGTGAAAGATTGGTTGAGAGCGAAAATGGAAGAAGAGCGAATTGTCATGTTAAAACAAGCCAGAATCACCCGGTTTCTCTCTACATGTGGAGCTCTCTTGATACTTTCAACATTGTTGATAACATGCTGCTCGTTGTACTTTGGCCGAACAGTCAGGCATGTAACGAATCTCACTGATCCGACTGGAAAGTCTATGCCAATCCAAACATACTATCTGCATGATATATCCAGCAGTCCGAGTTTCGAATTAACATATTTGGTACAAATAATCGGACTGTCTACATCCGGCCTTTCTTATACCGCAGTGGACAACTTCCTTGGACTTTTGATCTTACACATATGTGGTCAGATGGAGAATTTGCATTTGCGACTACAGAATTCAGGAAAGGGCTTGAATTTCAGAGGGGTTTTGAAGTACAACGTAAAAGATCACATTCGTTTAATCAGGTTCTGAATCGAAAACATTTATTAATCGTGAAAAAACATGTAGATATATCAAACTTAATCTTCTCTCTAAAAAATTTCATTAAAAAATTTTTATCATTAAAGGTTAATTTTGTAGATACAAAACGCATTGTGCAATTTTGATATATTATCCTTATGAAAAAATACTACTAGATTAAAAAGCTATTGAAACATATAGTTTAGAATATTGGATTTTAATAGTTTTCTAATAATTTCCAATAATTTCTTCATAATTTTAATAGTATTTTTCTATAAGAATTTAACTTAAATTTCTTAGAATAATAAGCTATTTAGAATTTAAATTTTAAAATGA